TTTGTGGTCTGACATGAGCTCTACACAGGGTGAGGTATAACTGATGCAGAACAGAAAAATGTAAAGAGGAGAAGGGGACCTAAGATTGTGGAAATGGAAGAAGCATAATTGGAATTATGTGATATGTTACTATTTACCATCTAGAAAAACTTTTTTACCAACTCTGCTTGTCACTGACTTTCTACCAATACAGAAGAGGTGATGTTTCATTCACCAAGGCAGAATTAAATAGACATAGGTGTAAGAAAAGGGAAAAAAACATTGCTGACAGTTGGAAAAAAGGATATGCTCATTTACTGGCAATGCTGAGTATTGTCACAGGATGTAATCTAAGATGTGCCATGTGAAGCAAACATTAATGAACAGTAGGAAGCAAAGAAAAATGGAAGTTTCGCAGAATTCTTGTTAAAGAACTGATGAGGGGAATGACCAGAATAATGGCCAGACTTTTTAACAAGGTGAAGATAGTATGCAGCTATAAGGAATTAAAAAAAAAAAAAAAAGTTATATAGTCTGTTCTCTATTCAGAAGGAAACACATACTTATTCCCAGCTCAGTGTTCTGATGTGCTTCTCTTTGTCTAGGCTTCTGCTAATGACAAGGAGTCTTTTGATATTAACATTGTAAGGAAAATAGTTTGGACTGTCACATATTAAGGAAAACCTTTACCCTGCCAGCTCTTTCCTGATCTCACAGACGGTGGTATTGCCTTCCAAGAGGGACCTCAGGGATATGGGAGCATTCAGCAGCAACAGGCACCTTGACTGCTGTCCCCACTTCCCTTCAAGGTGTGTTAAGAGCTTAACATCATCTCACTTCACAGGGGAGACTCATTGCTTGCTGACATTAAAATTATTAGCACAATCAACATTACTGGGCAACTCAGTTCTGACCTTGTTGGAGGTTTGGAAGAGTTGAGTGAACATTTTTTTACCTAAAAAAAATGAACCAGTTTTTAATATAGACAATGCGGACTGAGAGAGAAAATTCATAATCCCAGATAAACTGTTTGTAGTATTTCTTTCACTATCTCTATTGTGATTAAAAATAGTAATTCTATCCATCCAAAAGCTATAGTTTAAATTAGGTGTTTGTTTGGAAGCAAGAGCAAGATAATAAATTTGAAATTAAAATGTCTATATAATTTAAAACTTGGTTACTGATCAGCCAACTATAACATGATATTTATTAAAATCTCTTAAAGTTAAGTTTCTGTTCAGAGATAGTGACCACTCATATTTAATGGATATATAATACTTTCTATAATGACTTGAAGAAATTCCTAAGCATTCAGTAGAGTTAGTTTTCTTTTTTTCCTTTTCTTTTAAGAGAAATATATTCCATTTTCTGGAAACTGAATAAAAAATAAAGATGTGAAGCCCCAGGAGAACTGTGTGTGGGGTTTTTTTTGTTTGTTTTGTTTTTGTTTGTTTGTTTTTGGTTTTGTTTTTGTTTTGGGTTTGTTCTAATAAAAAATAATGTAAAATCAACCCACCAAAACTCCAAACATTTAAAGGGATCAGTTTGCTTCTATAGGATTTCACTCACTTGACCTCATTCAGTGGGACACAGGTAAACAGTCTCCCTTAATCACTTTCAATCATGAGAGGAAATCTTTCGGAAGAGCAAAATGTTTTCTTGGAAACTCAAAAGGGGAGACAAACAAAACAAGATAAACAGCAAAACCAAAATAAATAATTAAGTAAAATAATAAAATTTTAAAAATTACAAACCCCCAAAAATCAATGTTTTGTTTCTTCTTATTTCACTTCTTTGTTGTTTAGTTATTTCTCTACTCTGTTCATGGGCTGCATTTACCCAAAGTAGTGGTTTAAAGAAAGTTCTGTGATGGGATTTCAGTGGAAGGACTTCCCTCATAAAAAACAGGGAATAAATTAAAAAATAAATTAAAAAAAAAAGACTTTATAACCAAAGCAAAGCTTGATCATTTTTTTCTTTGAAGATGTTTGTCTCTGAAAGCGGAAAAGAAATTAATAAATTGCATGTATATCCGTTTGCAGAGAATAAGAAGCTGTGGCTTTATCAGCATATAAAGTGATTATTTTAAAAAGACAGTTTTAAAAAGTTTCATATTTTGGAAAAAATTAAATTAAGTTAGCCCAATATCTGTGAGTTTTAGGGCAAGCTGCTACATAAAATTAACATATTTAAAGACTTATCAAATAAGTCCTTTCCTTTGTTTTGCACAGGAGTACATTGCCCCAGTAGACTAGAACTGGAGGGAAAAGGAAATATTCATCCCTGTATCTGGTCTCTGAATACAATATAGATTGGGATTTTTTATGTTTTTGTAAATCATTGACATGAAATATGGGAAAAGTGAAGTATTATTCTTTGGTTATTTTTGTTTCATATATGGTATCAGCTTGTAACCTTTGCTAATATATAATGGAGAAAATAAGATAGGTTATTCAAATATTGATCTGATATCAGAGTAAGGTTAAATTACTCAGTGAAGTACAGCAAGGTTGGGAGAGAGGGATAGAACCTGTGGTTTCAAGGGGTGTGGTTCTCCCATATCACCTATCCCCAAATCATGGCTCTTTGTTTGGAATTTGCATTTGGAATTTTCATCAAGCTAAGCACAGTTACTTCAAGTTAGATAAGAAGCCAGCACATCACTGCTAGAAGGGTGTCATGAAAACAGAAGCAGTGGAGCATCAACAATAACAATGAGACCATTCCTAAAATCTTTATCTCTGGAGACTCAATATTGAATTTGGGGGATTTGTGCTGTTTGGTTTATACTGTTTTTTTAGTGTCGGGATCTTCACCATTTCCAAACAGACTTTTTAATGGCAGCTTTTCCCAGAGCTAGTCTTACCTATAACTACTTAAGGGAGGCACAGCTCCAAAAGGAGCCAAGTGGAACCAAGAAAGCAAAGAGAAGTGGGACTTGGAGGGCTGCATAGACTGAAAAACAATAACCTTTTTTTTCATTCCTGAGTAGTCTCTCATCACTATACAAAATAAATATACTATAGTGAATCAAAGAATTAAAAAAAAAGGTTTCTCTTTCTTCTTTAATAATACTGCAACTAGAACTCCAGTCCTGTTAAAATATCTTACAAATCATGGTTTGTGGAAGAGAAGGTAGAACTACATGAGTCACTATAAATACAAACATGCATAGATTAATCTACAATAGTAGTGAGACTTTTTTCATAGAATTATATGGAATTAGTTTAAAAAACTCTTTTTCTTTTTTCTTTTTTCTTTTTTCTTTTTTCTTTTTTTTTTTTAAACAATATTTAATGATAATCTTGTGCATTTTTTTCTTCCTATGTTATGATTTCTATTTTTTTCCAGAGGGGAAAGGGTTTTAATGAATTGAGACACATTATAATTAATTGTGTACTTAGAGTCATGTGTGAAAATTCTGTGGAAATGATGCATAACCATTCATTAAAAGAAACTGAATATCACACAGTAATCAGACCTTTCCAAAGAAGTTTCCTTTTTTTCCTTTTCCCTTTCCTTTTCTTTTATCAGTGAACACTGTTATGATAGAATTCATTCTGTTTGGAAAATAAAATGCAGACACCTGTTATCTTTTTTCCCCTCTGTTTATATTCCCATCAAAAGATACAATCAATAAGAACATATTCAGGGCAGGAAAATCTTCAAGATGATTCCCTGAAGGAATGGAGTACTCTTATTCTTTTGTTATCAAACACTGTTTAGTTATACACGGAATGAAATTGGGGATGTCATCTCATCTCTGTCTTTAGCCTAAAGCTTCCTGCTGCTGATTAAATCCTAAGATCCTGAATTGGGTTGATATCTGTAAGTAACTAGTTCATATTCTCCCACCTGTCTCCTACAGAGAGACAGTAGCTACTATGAGATACAGATCATATGTAGTGCAAGTCAGAATTCCATAGTGAATTACAAAATATGTTGAAGAATTCAAGACAAATATTTCTTTCCATTTGTCTACATAACCCTCATACACTTTTTCACATACGTGATCAGTTGGCAACAAATGTTAGAGAGCTATTCTACTTCTATGATAAGTAGCTATATAAGTCTTAGCATACTCATTTACATGTAGAAAAAAAGAAACATGGAGGTAAAATAAATATTAGAAATATTAAATGCAAGTTTATGAAGACAAAATCTATAGCTGTGCCTGATCAGCCCATTATTCTGCTGCATTAAAATCTCTCAGTTTAAAAAGTAATGTAGAAATTAGTGCAAGAGCTGGTACAGGGCAGGCTGGGTCAACCTAATTTGGAAAATACATTTATGCTGAAATTTCAGTGACAGAAAAATATCCCTGTTGGATTAGTTCAACAAAACTAAATGAAATATTCCAATTTCAGAAATGTCAATGTGTTTTGGTTTTAGTTTTGTTTTTGCTTTTTAACTAATCCCTATGACATTTCCATTCTAAAAAATGAATGAAATCAAACAGAACAAAATAAAATAAAAGATTCCCATTTGAAGAATTTCATAATGTCAACATTTCATCCCATGTGCCACAAGCAAAACCTAAGTTATAGTTCGAAGACAATTATAAAAAGTTAAAAACTAATTTTTTTGTTTGTTTGTCTGTTTTTTGTAAATATCTGCTGAAAAGGATGCATATGACAAGGTACCCTCACTCTATGTTCCATGGACCAACCTATATATCTACATTGATTTAATTTCTAGGTAGGAGATAGAGGAAATCAGTAAGGTAACTTTTTGGAGCTCTCTGATTTTTTAGAACGAAAAAACTGAGCTTTTGTGTTACAACATGAGAAAAAAGTTTTAAGTCAGCAAAACTTAAATGAGAAGAACCTTGCTTTGTTCGGCACCAATACCAAAACCCCTTTTTTTTTTTTTTTTTTTTTTACGTCAAGGTTCAGAGGTAGACTCTTGACACAACTGAATTTAATACAGAGTTCACAGTTACATTCTGGACACAACAATTTAACCGCAATTGTGATTATAAAGACATTTGTGCTAGCTTGTTTTCGTTTGTTTTTACTTACAGGAGTTTGTTATTGGGGTGCCTGCACCGTCTACCCTGGTGTTAGGCCGATGCCTCCATCCAAACCGAGCTGCTGAGAGTCTGCAGTGCAGACCTCAGACTGCAGCAAGAGCCGAGACCTTTCTCCTGGGGCAGGGACAGGCAGCAAGGGGAAGTAATGGCTTTAAACTGAAAGAAGGTAGACTTAGATTAAATATTAGGATTTAATTCTTTACTGCGAGGGTGGTGAGACACTGAAACAAATTGCCCAGAGCAGGTGTGGATGTCCCATCCTTGAAAGTGTTCAAGACCAGGTTAGACAGGGCTCTGAGCAACCTGATTTAGTGAAAGGTTTCCCTGCCTGTGTCAGGGGAGCTGGAACTAGGTGACCCTTAAGGTCCCTTCCAACCCAAAACATTCTATATAGTCATATTCTATTCTATGATTCTATTCTATGATCTTTAAACATCAAAGACAGTGCAGGCAGTACTGATTAACTGCTGCTTGTAAAGTATTTCTATCTGATCTATGAGCAGGATGGGCAAATGCAAACTTTTATAGCTTCATTGACTGCTGTATAGAATGTGCCAGTTAGACCAGCTGAAGCCTCTGACACGAATGCTACAGCATGACTAACAGCATGGAAACACATTGACCTCTAAGAGTCAGAGTCAGTGGCAACCAACAAGACCTTGTGCGATAAAATCTGAGGAGAAAAATCAGCCTAGCTTTTCAGATATTTTACAGCAAGCTGAAAATATTCACAGAGGCTCTTATTTTTAAAATCATCATCTCTGTATATGTTTTATTCTTTGGTACTAAAAATACAAAAATTTAATACAGAATTAATTTTTATGAATTTGTGTTAGTCTTCACCTACTGGAGAGAAAAAAATGGATATATATATGTAGTTGATAGTGATATACCAAAAGGACAATTAAAATACAGTAAAACTATAAAATAGAGATGTTAAACTTTCTACTTTTTGGAGTGGCACTGCTATTGCAAAACAGGATAGAATAAGCAGGATAGAATAAACAGGAAAAGTATGAAATGATGCAGAAGTGATCTTGAGAATGACAATTTCACAGTATTGAAGAAACCTGCCAACTATTGGAGAATACAAAAGAATCAAAGGAAAAAAAAATTATTGAAAGAGAGAGAAACAACCAGATCTCCTCTTCACAGTTATGAAGAAATATGGTCAAAATTAAGTATATGTAGATGCCGTAAGTAGGCTGGGGAAAGAGGGTAGGAAGAGAATTACTATTCTGAATTAAAATATCGAGTTCATCTTTCCAAGAATAAAGCAGATGGAGAAACTGTGACTGGATTGGTTTGGACACTAGCCAGATGGAGGACCAGTTATTCTAGCAGCCAGAAGAAAGGGGAGAGCAACCTGTGTGAAACACAGCAAGGCCCCAGACAGATGAAGATGTGAGTAGCCCAGGAGCAAGGTCAGCCCTACCTTGGGTGCTGGCCAGCTCACCCGCAGAAAGATGGAGAACAGCTTGTGCAGCAGTCAGGCTACTGCCTTCAAGAGCCAACCAAAATCCCGCCTAAATGGCAAGGCTTTGGGGTTTCACACAGAGAAGAATATTGATAGAAGAAGGAACTATTATTGGATGACCGTACTCTTCAGAGTGTTTAGGGATTCAGGAAGCTAAATCTAGCGAAGATGCAACAGGGCACTTGAATTTTGTTATTTGGTACAAAACACTAAAGATCTAGTTTCTATTTTTTACCTTGTCCAGATGACTTACTTCCTAAAGTGCAAAATGTTATTTATTCAAATTTCCTAGAGTTTTCAAAGTTTATTTTAGACCCAGTCTCAAATTTGACTTTTGGTTAGAGAGCTTACAAGTAATGGCCAGTCTTCGCGAGCGAAGATCTGGGGAAGGTCTTTATACCTTCTAGCCTGCGCATTGGATTTTTAAGGTGAGACACAGTGTGCACGGAACTGAGCCCACCCTTTAATCCTAAGGTTCATCTGCCGGGGCCAAGCGAGCTTGGACAGTGGCAGCGAGGTCCTTAGGATGTAGATGGGTTGCCTTTAAGGGTTAACGAGCTCCACCTGCCCGGGAGTGGCCCTGACTGGGAATTGAACCTGGGCCTCGCCAGTGACAGCGCCGCGCCCTTAACCACTAGACCACCAGGGGCTCCAAAAGTAGCATTCATATTATTATTGCTATGAAAACTAAGATGTTTGTTCTTTATTTCATGTGGAAAAAATGAAACATTTTTCAGTATTCACTTAAGAAAATAACTGGCATAACTTTCCTTAGTATTGGTCTGTAATTTATTACTGTTATTCATCCTTTAATTTCAACATGACAAATTAAAATCATACTTAAATCGCAACCCTAAAAGAGTAGATTTGACCATTAGAAAAAATTTTTCTCTGTATCGTGTTTTTTTAATACCATGCCTCTATCCAGATGCAGATTGGAAATCTGAAAGTTTGCACCATAAAACTGTGCAAAAATGCATGTGATAGAGGAAAACTGAGTTAGAAGTTTAGAAACTATAATCTGTGGATAACATATGTGTAGTTTCTTTCATAGGTACAAGTATACTAAAGGTAACAAAAGACAGTGTTTATCTGCCTGGTTGCACTTCTGATCTTATGTGATTATATGTAATCTCATAAAAGTGATGTACTTTAAAATAAAATGACACACACTGGGGTAGTGGTTAGTATAGCTCTTTATCTCATCTCTCATCTCGGTTTCTATGATTTTTATATGTGCTGGAAAGCTAATTGTTCCCTGGCATCCAGGGACCCCATATGCTGTGGAGGATTCTCTAGTGATGGAGGTTACCTGGCCAAAGTATGAAAGGTCCCTGAAACTGGTATGAAGAGGAATATCTAAAGTGTATATATATCTAAAGGAATTGCTAAATTTGATAAACAGTGTACCTATAGATATACAGTTCTGTACTACATTATATAGACTTGCCAATTTGATTTCTTCCACCATTGCTATCTCCATTTTACCATCTCTATAGAATTGTAGTTTCCTAATGAAGTACATTCTTAAATTCAAATAATAGTCCAGGACTTTACTATCATCAATATGGATGGTATTAGTAATGAAGAAGATAGCAATTTCAGGATTTACAACTTGTTAGTTTAAACTATGCTACAGAAAACAAAATGAAATGGCGTATGCTGCTGTGAATTCTGTATTAAAAGAATGCTCCAGGCCTGACGTGCAGAGAATAATTTCTACATAGTGTCTCACATGATTCTATATTAAGTAACACAGAAACAAAAACAAAACCAAAAACAAACAACAACAACAAAAATTACAAAAATCTACTATGCTGGAGTCTACAAAGACAATCAGATTATCGGATTTACATTGTCAATGATCTATTGTCTGACTTTAGAATAATTAGTCAGTCGGTGATTCTATAAATGGACTTTGTCTTCTTAGGACCACCTCTTTCAAGAAAGCAAGGTCAGCCTTCAAGCTTGGTCGAATGATGACGTCACTTTTAATGAGCTAAGGGTTTTGTGTTGAGGAAAAAACACATACTCTAAGACTTACCATGCTTTGTCTGGATTTATCTCTGAAGATCTTTTTTTTAAGTGGTTTAGTCATAAAAGAAGTTTACCAATGATCAGTTTAATAATTATCTAATTTTGTTTTCTCTTTGTTTAGCTTTTTAATATTGTGTAACTATGTATACATATGCATTTGTGTTTATAGTTATATATGTATTTTGGTAGCTGCTTGCTACTCATATTCTGCAACTGTTTTTCATGTAGAATGGGCTATCTACGACCCTGGAGTCAAATGCAGCAGAGAGGAGGCACAGGGTAAGTGCAGAGGCCTTAAAATTATGGCCATGGTGTAGTAGTGTAGGTGACACACCACTATTTATGAGAAGAATGTAACCTGTTAACTGGGGTAAACATTTAAAACATGTCATACATGCTGCATTTAGATGTAAAATGATCCTGTAGACCAAGGTACTACAAATAAAAAGAAAATGGCCTCAGGCAATGAGGGGGAAGATGTCTAAAGTTAACTACTTCCAGTGAAGGACTACAGAAAGTGAAGATCCAATGTACAATTTTCCTCCACCCAAACTGAAAGTACTGATCTCAGAACTCAATAGGACACTAGACAGGGTTAACACTTCATCCAAAAAAAAAGGAGAGCATACCAGGAAACTTGAATTTATTAATCTTAATTATCTATATTTTGAACTATTTGAACTATTATGAATTTTGAATTTATTAACATGGTAATTGTAGTAATATTAGTTGTTATTTCATTTGACTCAAGATTTAAACTGGAATAAAAACATCTTGATTTTTAAGATAATGTGTTGGTTGCTTATAAAAATATTTGGGACCAATTAATTCAGAGGAATCTAAGCAAACTATTCTTCAAATTAGATGCATCAAACAGGTAGCACAAGTGTGCATGTACCACAGTGCTTTGGAATTTGAGATTCTTTGTTCATTAAATGAGTTAATGCTTGCCCTATAGCATGACGTTTTGAGGATTTTCAAACAAAAAAAATGTTTATGGGTAATAATTTATGAATTTATAAAAAAATTATAAATTATATTAAAATTATTAATAAAAGCAAAGAATGAATCAAAGCATATAATTTGTATGTTCAGTTATCAGAATAAGTAAAAGTAAGTTCCATCAATTTAATAACTTCAATTTTATTATTATAAGCAATAAACCAAGTTCTCAAAAACTGATATGAAAACAATGTATCATGTCAGTTGACTAAAGTATAAATTGACAATTTTTCCTGGATCATAAAACTTTCTGGAACGTACATTTGTAGAAACATGAGCAATCAAATATTTAACACAATAAATTAATAAATTTCTAGTGTAGTATATGATATTTCCCGAGGAAATTAGTTAATTTTTTCTTTGAGTGCCCAAAGAACCTCTGATCCAAACATCACATATTATTTTTTCTCAATTTATCTGACTAACCAGCTACAATGGGTATATAGAGTATTATATACCATAAGGACTCTTTTAAAAAGACCATGTTCAACAAAAGGAGAAACAGAGTTTGCAATAAAACCCTAAGATTAATCCAACAAGATAGTAAGGCCTTCTCATCTTGGGATTTTAATGTCACATAACATAATATTTACAAATTATAGCTTAGTAGTTTTTTTAGACATAAAGTTTTACAATCATT